TATATATATATATTGAAAGGCAGCAGATAGATGAAAAATATCGTCTAATATGTCATTGTCTATTTATTTATATACCACATAAAAACAACAAGTTGACCAAAGCGCTTCATAATTCAGCCAGATGAATAAAACAACAGAGCAACACATGAATGTAAACAATAAGARCAATTTAAAATAGAGAAAAAAAAAACATTAAAACCATCTTTAAAAGAATCTCAAACTGTACCAGAATGAAAGCCAGGGAGTAAAAATGAGTTTTAAGCAGAGATTTAAAAGTCTTAACAGTCTCTGCACACCGAATGCTAAGAGGTAAACCTTCCAAAGGTTTGGGGCAGAAACTGCAAAGGCCCGATCACCTCTAAACTTTCGCCTGGATCTGGGAATATCTAAGAGAAACTGGTTGGACCGAAGTGCTCTAAATGAAGTGTGGATGTTCATGAGATCACATATATCTTCCCCCTTTTAAAGAATAAATTCAAACCATAGTAATTTATAAAAATTATTATATTATATTGTTTTGTTCACCATTAGGGAACACAAACACAATCTAACTCCAAGTAAATCACACTTCTGTGTAATCAAATTGTTCACTTAGGAAGTAACACTGATTGACAAACAATTTCACAAGCTGTCAGCACATTTAACTTTGTTTAGAAGAAAGTATTCATGAGAATATTTCATTCATTCAGATCTAGGACCTTTACTTTTTTGAGCAGTTGTTACAACTTGGCTAATATAGTATTCAGTCAGCCAAGCCTTAATGCTAAACCACGTTCTTGCTCAATTTTTATTATGTTTGGCTTATCCGGTCCAAGCTACACCACTTTAAGTTTCTCCTCATATGTTCTGCTTTGAAAAGGTTTAGATATAAGAGACTTACGGTGTTGTTTTCTCCTTCTTTCTCATTTGTTGTTCTCCAAAATCCACCTCGTGAAACCCTGCTGGGTGCTGCATTAATTAACGTTGAGTCGTCGACAGGTTGGACCCACTTACAGAGGTCAGCTGCGGGGCGGTGACGAACTGCGCCACAGGCCACTCTATTCTTTTGCATTGGGGACTTACTGCGCATGTCCAAAATCTTGTCTATGGGAGTCTGGGCGTCGAACCGCTCGTGACCCGGAAGTGAGTCAACACGAAAAAGCTCATGAGTAAAATGGAACTTTACACATCAATAACTCTAAATTATTTATTTTACGTATCAGAAAACATACATACGATATTTTTTGAAACATTTATAATGTTTTATTTGGTTATATTATTTATTTATTTAATTTTTTGTGTACCAAAATTAGTGGTGGGGCAGCGCACTAGCGCCCCCTATTGACCAGCCGCCAGTGTCAAACACACTCACATTTGTACAGACAACCTGGGTGCATACCACAGGGTGTCTGGGCTCTCCGTTAGAGATAGGGTGAGAAGCTCAGTCATCCGGGAGGGACTCAGAGTAGAGCCGCTGCTCCTCCACGTCGAGAGGAGCCAGTTGAGGTGGTTCTTCTGGTTAGGATGCCTCCTGGACGCCTCCCTGGTGAGGTGTTCTGGGCACGTCCCACTGGCAGGAGGCCCAGAGGAAGACCCAGGACACGATGGAGGGACTATTTTCCTCAGCTGGCCTGGGAACACCTTGGGTTTACCCCTGATGAGCTGGCCCAAGTGGCTAGAGAGAGAAGTCTGGGTCTCTCTTCTTAGGCTGCTGCCCCCGCAACCCGATCACGAATAAATGAAAAAATGGATGGATGGATGTTTCTTGTTTTATGTGACTTTAGTTTAGTTTCCCTCCCAGGCTGTTAGAGTTGTTTCTGTGATCTCTGTGTCATTTCTCTTTTCTCCCTCAGCTCTCAGTATTTTTCCAGTCAATTAGTCATTGTTGCCACTCCTCAATCATTTCAGCTGCCTTCCAAACCTCATCAGTCTAGTTCTTATTTAACCAGCCTCTCTATCATTACATCAGCAGGTCACTGTAATATGTTGTTTGGTTTTAACAGTCTTTGGATTTTACTTTATGTTTTGTTTCTTAATGTTACCTTATTTTCTGGATGCCCACCTTTGTTTTAGGTGTCAGCTCTTTGTTTTAACTTTTATTAAAGTCATTTTTAGTTAAAACACCTCTTTGGTTTGCATTCTGGGTCCAAATCAACACTAATCCTCACAGCTTCAACATATTAAACTGATCTTCTCAATCTACTCATCAGTATCTGAAAGGGTTTTTCTTTATTACATTNAAAAATCTCACTTGCCTCTGTTGTCATTGATTTAATGTTCGGCCGGGTTTTGCTGTGTCTCTCTGAGTTCCTAGGTTAAAAAACCCGAACAGTATCAACTCTCTGCTCAACCTGTCTCTCCTGGATTTAGATCAAACAAAGCATAAACTTAATCTACTTGTGCTGTTTCTGTACATCATTAATTGTCCTTTTACTTTTGTGTTGTATTTTATGGTATTGCAATGTACGGTCTGACTGAAGGACTTCAGTCAACTTCAGTTGTTTTAAACATTACATATAAATAAAACTAATTTTTTGTTGTAAGAAATTATTTCTATGAACTTCAGACAGGAAGTGACTTTATAAGTTAATAATAAATCAAACTCCACCCTGTGTTGATAAGAAAATGAAATGTCAGATTATTACCTGAAAGAGAAGTTTAAAGTTCATTTTGACACATTTTTCCTGGAGCTGAGACACCATTACAGAGTGAAGGACACAAACTAAAAACTATTTAATGGACTGAGGCTCAAAGAGACAGACTTTTGGTGAGTCTAACTGTTGACAGATAATTAAGGTTAAGAGGAAATGGCTGAAAAACTCACCTTTTTCCTAAGCTGCTATATCTGTTCAGAGACTTTCAAAGATCCTGTGTCTCTGAGCTGCAACCACAGCTTCTGTTCAAGCTGCCTGCAGAAGTTCTGGGAACAAACTGGAAACAAGAACTGTCCTGTTTGTAGAAGAAAGTCTTCAAAAGAAAATCCACTGGTGAACTTTAGTCTGAAGGAACTTGCTGACTGTTTTGCTGAAAGACAGAAATCTGYATCATCCGAGTCAGAAAAAGAGAAAAAAGGAATGATGATGGTCTGCAGCAAACACCAAGAAGATCCTCGTCTGTTCTGTGAAGACGAGCAGAGAGCTGTGTGTCCTGTCTGTGAGTTTTCTCTCCACCAGAAGCACAAAGTGGTTCCTGTAGAACAAGCAGTCAGAGAGCTGTGTGTCCTGTCTGTGAGTTTTCTCTCCACCAGAAGCACAAAGTGGTTCCTGTAGAACAAGCAGTCAGAGAGCTGAAGGAGCAGCTGAGATCTGACTTAAAGTCTCTGCAGGACAAGAGGAACAAACACAAACATGTGGAGGAAACATACAATGATGTGATCCAACACAGGCTTTAGCAGTAACTTTGAGAACAAAAGGTCAGAATAGGGTCATGTCTGGTAGAATATTCTGGAAAAGATTACATCATCAGTGGTCCACAAAAACACTTCGACAGTGTGTATGGGAGGTGTTATATTTCCGCCCATTCTGGGAAAGGCCCATCCTTTCCTGGCTTTGTACTGGCACAAACAACTTGGGTATAAAAGCTTATGGTTTTCTAAC